CTTTCATTTACTAAATTGACACCAAACATTTTGTAAGTTTGTTTTGTTCTGAACAGATTTAAATTAATCTGCACCAGTAAAACTTAAACATCGGGGTTGTAAGACTCATACTTTTGCATGAAACTCAACTTTATAGATTCTTCTTGAGTTTTAGCTGAAAAAACAAATTATTAAATTAGTTTTTAAATCCCAGTTTAAATATTTTACTGTTAACTTAATCTTCTTGCATCACCAAGACAATATGTTTTGTCTGATCGGATAAGGAAAGGATTTAAAATTCATCACAGTATTTGAAATTTTGAATTTTTTAATATTTCAAATTTAAAACTGGTATTTTCAGTATTTAATGTGAAAGATGGATGATCTAGAACCTTTGGCAGATATCCTTTGTCTAAAAGGCAATGATACGAAAAGTTTAAACAAAAACACGTGACAGGGTTTCTGATAATGAGATTGTAAAATTAGAGGAAAATTACGTAAGTAACAAGTTTGAAGGACAACAATAAAAACCTACAAAATTTAGGAAACTGAAAACATATTTAAATATTTAACGGTTTAACTAATTAAATTGTGTTTTTAAGGATTTTGAAATAATCTTCGTATATTCCAATCTTATTTAAAAAATGTATTCATTAAATAAGTCATATATGAAATTTATAATGAGATTAAAATTATGTATTTATTAAATCTGATTGAAATTGTGTATTTATGCATTTAATAGAAATAATACGATACGAGTATGCATTTGGATGCATTGATAAAAACATAATTAAATATAACTTTAGTCTCTCCACGAATTTAAAATTTGTTTTTGCCTCAAATTTTAATATACTCTATCTTTAATAAAATTTAAAAATAATAAATATAACAATTTAAATTAACAAACAAAAAATTTATAATTATTAAATTAAATTTTATTTATTTATTTACTTTTAAAATCTAAATATCTAAAATATATAATTGAGAAAATATTAATTTAAATTTCGCGTATAAATACAGGAATTAAAATATACTTAACCCATAAAATTATCTCACATTTTATAATAAAAAAACAAATTATGGTGATTATTCTAATACTAACTACTTTTTAGTAAAAAAAATATACTTTCTTTAAAATAAAACCGATTCAATCATTTGTACCATTGGCTACCTACAAAAAGTCTCTCGTCTGTCACTTTCAAGATTTCTTGTCTTGTACTTGCACCAATACTAAATTACGTATTTTGCAGTTTTTTGTGAAAAATAAATTAAGTGACAAAATGAGATATTTTCTCTCGCCTTTAGTTCATTAGAAATGGGTACGGAGCAAATAAACTCTAGAATAAAAAAATTGTAAAACCTAATTTAGAAAAACATAATTGAAATTTTATTTTTAAGTATCTTTCAGAAAAATAATTTTAAAAAATTATATTCTTTTACATCTTAAATTTAAAAAAATATATATTTTACATGCATAATATAAAATTAGAAAGATGACCATTGGACGGGATAATTGGTTGAGAAAAGTTTGACCCCTTTGCCAAGTTTGGCCATATGCGGAAAAAGCTTCATCAACTAACGCGTTATGATAATTACAAAATAATTTTAGGGAGGAATAATTTATACAGATTTTTTATTAAATTTATAAAAAAAATACTCATTGTCTAAATTTTTTGAAAGATTAAAAAATAATTATCTCAATGTAGAAACTAATTTACTTAACTTTTATAAGATAAACTTATTTTTAAACTACTTCTATTCAATCTTTATGTCTTTTAACTTTACTATTGTTTTCGTTGAAAGGGATTGAAGTCATCTTTTCTAGCTTTGCAGTATGCTATCATTGTTCAATCCTCTTTAAGAACAAATTCACGCCAAACAGTTATTGATATGGAGAAGACACTCCGACGTTCAAGTCAAATATGTTTCAAGACACTTTGACGCAGTCAGATAGATTTCTAAAAGATGTCTTATAGCAATCAAGCTCATTCATTAATCATTAATACTGTATATTCATATTTGATATGACAATCAAATCTATTAATTAGTAATTAATGTCTGTTAATATACGTGTCAACTACCTATATTTGATATAGTCGATAGGTTACCTTGATTGATCGACTCTTATTCATGAGACAATTCACTATGACTCCAACCGGTACACTTCATATAACACAAATATGATTATTGTTTCGGTTGAATTGGTTCGAGGGTCGGTCGTCCTTCCTTGTTCTCTTTTGATCTTCAATCCTCTCCGAGAATGCAATCCACTTTGATGAATTGTTGACTTGCAGAAGACACTCCGACGCTCAAGTCATATATGTTTCATAAAGAAATCTATAAGAAAAGGATAGAAAATGATGATTGTACATATTAATATCGTATATTTGTAAAGCGTAAGGCAATCTGACCTACTAATACCTGATAATTGCCCATAATGACCATTAACTCCGATCAGTATATTTTATATAGTACATAAGCCCCCAAAGCCCAAGCGAGCTCTTTGTTGAAAAAGGTGCATAGGGATTATTATGAGCTTTAAAAGAGGTAGTTCATGTTGTATTTAGAGAGTCTATCTTCGATGCGCTTTAAGTCTTCATTGCTCCCTGTTTCGAGCGGTGCGTTTATAATGAAAAGGCATTGAAACCTGACAAAGTTGAACCTCTTGAGTAGTCGACTGATAGTTCTTTTTCGAACTTCCTGCGTTGAGCGGGGATTTCTGAAGCCCTTTTTCGGACTTCCCCCAAACAGTGAACGTGTTGTAGAGGATTGAATCTTCTTGTGCAAAATATTTTTACTCACAAAAAGCACGCGTTAAAGCAAAAATATTCAATATTTTATTCTTATAACGAGACGGCATCGGAACCTGATAAGATTGAACGTTTGTGTGAACCTTCGTGTGCGAGATATTTTTACTCACAAAAATAAGCCTTAAATAAAATATACAACATTTTATTTTATAATGAGATAACATTAGAACCTGATAAGGTTGAACGTAGGAGTGAACCTTCATCTGCGAGATATTTTTACTCGTAAAAATATGACTTAAAAAAAATATTATAATTTATAAATTATAATGAAAAGTAGAACCTGTCAAGGTTGAACGTAGAACTGAACTTTCCTTTTACTCACAAAGATATGAGTTAAATAAATATATTATAATTTATAAATTATAATGAAAAGTGGAATCTGTCAAGGTTGAACGTATGATTGAACCATCCTGTGCAGGATATTTTTAGTCACAAAAATATGAGTTAAACAAATATATTATAATTTATAAATTATAATGAAAAGTGGAATCTGTCAAAGTTGAAAGTAGGACTGAACTTTCCTCAATGTCGAGGCCGAGCGCACATCTACATGTCACTTCTGGTTCGCTCGGCCCCACGATGGTCGCCAAAATGTTTCGGTTGAATTGGTCCGAGGGTCGGTCGTCCTTCCTTGCTCTCTTTTGAACTTCAATCCTCTTCGAGAATGCAATCCACTTTGATGAGTTGTTGACCTGCAGAAAGACACTCCGACGCTCAAGTCATATATGTTTCATAAAGAGGTCTATAAGAAAAGGATAGAAAATGATGATTACATCTATTGTATATTTATAGGACTTGTGACAGCTAAGTCCATTCATTAACCATTAGTGCAATATATATTATTAGACAATCAAACCCAATAATCAATTATTAATATCGTACATTTGTGAAGCGTAAGGCAATCTGACCTATTAATACCTGATAATTGTCAATCGGTATATTTTATATAGTACAATTATATTAACAAACATTTAATGTAATGTTTCTAAAATTATAATTGTACTAATAGGATAACAAGACTTTATACATTATTATCTTAAAATTTATAATATAATACTGGCTGCATATTATTCAATATTATTTTTACAAAATTATATATATGTAAAATGATACTATTTTTTCTGTTTTTGAGTTAATGACTCATAAAATAATATCTATTAACTTATGATATTTTAACTTCAAAAAATTTTACTGAAAAGACAAGCATTTAAACTTCTATTGCCTTCGATGATGAGTTCCTTAAGGAAATATAAAAGTCAAGTCAAGCTATAAAAATACTAACATATTTTCAAAAGTTTTGGTTCATAAACATAAAAAATCACTATCAACTTAGATTAACATATAGACTCATCGAAAGGAGCTCAGATCTCACATGTAAGTCTTAAAACCCCAGCATGCAGACTCAAAAGGAAAACACATAAATTTTTAGATCAAAGGAAAAAAATAATACTTTTTTTCTAAATGAAAATCTCATAAGATTATATTTTCTGTTTATTTTGTTGTCTTCTTCAAAGTATCTTTGGACAGAGGAAAAGCTAAAAAAATAGAGTCAAAAATTTGGAAAAAACGTGAGAAAAAAAATATTTAAAAATATAGATGTTTATAAAATAAAACTAAGTAGTTAAAATTATTATTAAATATTAAATATAATTTAAAATGTTAAGCTTTAGCACTTTTAAGATTATCTATACTGAACATTAAAAGAAAGTCTTACATTTATAACTTCAATTTTATTTTTAATTATATTTTTTCTAAAAAACCATATTTTTAATTTTTCAAATACAGAATAAAAGATACCATTTGTCTTGCGAGAGATATATTAAAACATTTGTCTTAAATTTGTGAGAAGAAATATGTTTCTATCAAACATAATACGATTAATACGATTAAGGATCGGGTCTAAATCGATTTAATTTTTTGTTTAAAAATTTAATTTTTTGTTTAAATATTTTTAAAGACAAAATCGTAATGAATAAAACTCTAAAATAAATTATATATGGTAATTGATTTTAATAATATTGATGGACTTGGGATAGAAATAATATTATTTATTGTTTAGCGTTAGTTATTATTTTAAAACTTATTATGAGTTATTTGTGTATGAAAGTTGTTGAGCATCAATAGTTTTAAGCGACATTTCAACGGTTCCAAAGTAACGTTGAAGTATAATATTTCATAATTCAAAAGCGGAGATAGCAAAGCGGAGATAGCAAAGCGGAGGAAAAATGCTATTTCTTTGACTAACCAATAATTACAATCACTCTGAAACTGCACAACATAAATGCCTCCCACTCATGGAATCATTCAAACCGAGTCTGCGTCAACGAAATTTCCTAGAACACTCTCTTCATTCAATTACAGAAAAAAACCCAAAAACTGGAGCCTACCACAAAATTACCCAAATATGGTAACACGATTTCCCAAAATGATAATGTCGTAACAACAATTGAATCCCAACTCCAAACACAAAATCAAATCATTCACCGATCATATTGAAGGCAAACTTCCTGATGCAACTTTAGTCCCCCGATCAAGCACGTACCACCAATTATTTGCATATACATGTTATACCCTGCAAGCAAAGATGTAATGATGTGCCAATAAGCTTCCTTTTATTAAACTTCGCTACGTAAATAAATAGAAATCAATTAATTAAACTTTCGTGTTTGTTGGTTGTGCTGACTTAGAAGCATACTAGTTAATTGATTAATTCTTTACACAGAAAAAGAAAGAGCAGTTTGGAATTTACTGTTGGAACTCTATATTGATCAAGGCGGCAGATGAATTGGCGATACTCCCGAAAGCCTTATCGGAGAGAACCATGGTTGTGCCGGCGGTGGAGGGCGGCGACACCGCAGATGCGGCGTAATCAACAATCTTAATCTGAACACTCTGGTCGGGAATGCAAGTCATAGGTTCCTCTGCACTTATACATCTCACAAGGTACTGCCTCCCACACGCCGCTCCATTGTCCCAGATTCCATCTCCGGCCGCCGCAAAAAGATTACTCGACGGAAACTGCGTGGCTTCGTTGCCGTAACACCCCGAGGCTATATAATATGATAGATATATAATTAAGAATTAATTGGTTAGTTTATAGTTTGAGGTATTTACATATATATATTTTTGGTGATGAAGGTACTTACGTAAATATGGAGGGGAGTAACGGGAAGAGGTGCCAACGTCAGCGTTGGAGTGGTGCGAGAGAATTATGAAAAGAAGGAAGAAAGAAGAAAAATAGTGAAGTGTTGTTGGTGACATGATCGGAGAGATGAAGGTGCGCGAGGATAAGATATTAAGACGTCGGAATTATATAATAGATGGCTAAAGGTACTTCTTAATATTATTTAGAAAGTAACTGCATAAAAACTTTGTTTTCTCGCGTTCACACTCATTTATTAATTTGCTGGACCCTTCTGCACATGGTTGATAGACTTCCGGAATGACAAATAACTCCAACCTAACTTAAATGATCACAATTTCATTAGCCCTGTTATTTTGAGTGAATTTGAAGGGATTTAAAAGGATTTGAAGATAAATTTTTTTGTCGTTTATTTGAGTGAACTTAGAGATAAATGAAAGTGAATTTGGAAATAATTTTTTTAATTTATCACGTCAATACAATTCTATACTAATTCTTACAAATTTTATTTCTAAATTCACTCTCATTTATCTCTAAATTCACTCAAATAAACGATAAAAAAATTTATCTTCAAATCCTCTCAAATCTTCGTAATATTGTTAGAGTAAATTGATGCTTTTAAGATATTGTTTTGGAGTTTCTTGTTTTTTTACTATTACTTGACATGAGACTATTGAAAGTAAAGCTATGTGAATTCATCTTGGTTGTCCTTAAACAATGATTAATATTTTGTTCACTTAAATAAATTTGGAGGGAGAATGATTGAATGGATTTGAGAGAATTTAAAGATAAAGTTTTTTATTGTTTATTTGAGTGGATTTGGAGGTAAATAAAAGTGAATTTGAAACTAAATTTTTTTAATTTGTCAGATCAATCAAATCTTACATTAATTCTCACAAATTTTACTTCCAAATATACTCTCACCTACCTCCAAATCCACTCAAATAAAAAAAAATTTACCTTTAAATTCTCGTTACTCTTCCTCGAACTCATTTAAGAACAAAACCTAAAAGTTTAAGAGAAGAAGATATTTATATTGTTTTTTATACATTGTTATTGAATTATGTGACGCTATCACGTAAGTTTCCCAAGAGATTTCATTTTAGAAACCTCTTTTATTTTTTTCACAAAAACATATTAACGGTTCAACTTCAAATATATCAAAATAATGTTATTAAATAGTACTAAATATATCAAAACAAACTCCTTAAGAGTTAAGAAGAATAAAGATTTATTATCCTTACAAACACGTCAATATTTCTACCTCAATTTTATTAAAATAAAATATTGTTAGAGTCATTTATTACATTTGAAATATTATCTTATTCAAATCTTAATAAATTTGTCATGGTTTTGTTTTTTAAAATCATCTTAAAAATTACGTGAAGAAATATATTTAAATTATCTGATTTAAATATTATAATGTGATTTTGTGAAAGATCAATTACATGAAGAAAAATTCAACATATTTTCATTATACTCATTACTCATCTGTGAAGGAATCTTATTGTCCGACTTACGTATAGGTCGAACTCCATGATTCCAGTTGAGCTTGAGAAACATATTAACAAACATAAAATTTGGATGAAAATAGTAATAATAAAAACTTGGAATAGAACTAGACATATTTCATGAAATAATATAAGAAATTAGGATTAAAAAAATATTTTCAAAAGTAGAATGTCTGACACACTATAATACACATGTCAAAGAGACCTTCAACAAAAAAAGAAATATGGCGAAAGCTCGTAGAAATTTGATGCCATAGATATGAAAAAGAATTTACATCCAATTAGGATGAACTTCTACAAAATGAAACATACAAGCTTGAAGAATTAACGGACCTTTATACCAATAAGATGGAATACAAAAATTACTACAATTAATTCCAATGATTGTAATGAAATGGTGTACTCTTCTTTTAGCTTTGTGTTTTTTTCTTTCCTAAAAAGGTTTTAATAGGGGATATACTTAAAAAAGGTACATTTCTTTCAAAAATATCTTCAAGTTACCATATTGAATCAATGATATCCGACAACGTTAAATAAAAGTTGTTCTGTATTTATAACATAGTCGTACTAAAACATCATATCAAATCAATGGTTCAAACTAGACAACTAAGACACCAAATTAAAGTTATTCAGTATACTCAATTAAAATAGTTTAAAGAAACTAAACATTATAATATTTATTTAAATATGTTCAAAGCAAACAATTAAATATCATGACACATTTAACTAATTCATTCAAGTAAATAATTAAACATAGGATAAAAATATTCAGTTTAAGCTGACTTTTTAACTCATTCGTCCTGGAAAATAAAATAATAATAATAATTATTCATTTGTCCTCAAACTTTGAATTTAAAAAACTTTTATATATATATATATGTTTGGCTTATTAAGAAGAATATTTATTCTCAAAACTTTGAATTAATAGACATGTGGATTTTCTAGTAAGATATTGTCGTTTTGAGTGAAGTTCTAACGAATTTGTTTTTAATTTTACTTTAAAAAGTTTTTTATTAATAAAGGTATTTTATATATATATATATATATATATATATATATATATATATAAATTCATGTCGATTTTTTGTTTTATTTTATGTGAGACTTTTGTTTGTATTCTACTAAGCTTTACTTTATCATAAAGAGACATACTCGTTTAAGTCAGTTACCAAACTTGAACTATCGACTCTGATATCAATTATAGGTTGCTTAAGTATTAATTGAGCATATATAATTAAAATATTTTAATAAATTATCACCAATAAAATATATTATAAGATGATAAGAAACCCAGTGTTTTTTTTTTTCTTATTTCATATTTAGGTTATCTATCAAAGACCAAAATACTCTATAAAAACTCATTAATTTTCAGAAAAAGCATTGACTTATTATTTAATATTCTAATATATTTTCTATTTTACAAAGCTCGTATACTTACTACCACGATGAATAAATCTCTTCCAAAAAAAAATCCAAATTTAGAGAAACCCAACTCAAATATCTCACAATAATAACTTTTTTCCAATAAAAATACGAATATTCCTCTTGGTTCATTTTGTAGTTTAATCTTTTGAAATTTGTGTAATATCATGTTGACCCAAAATCTAAGCGTTTTGAAACCTGGTGGGATGCATCTAAGTAACGTGACTTAAGGAAGTCCATACGTGCAATCTACAAAAGTTTAAAAGTTTATTGGTGAATTAAAGTTATTATCATTATCAAAAGACCCACATTTACCAGAAATTTGACCAAAACAATTTAATGTATTGGCACCCACATGTCTCCTGTCTTTATTTCAGTGGGTCACGTTAGACTAATACTAAAATACAATTCAAAGTATACTTCTTATCATAGTTTTAATATTAAATGACGAGACAAATCATCAAACCCAGTGAATAACATTCTCTGTGCTTCTAAAATATCATTATATGATATTTTATATTGACAATTTTTCCGATCTAAAGTTGGTTAAAATTAGGATTTTTTAGCTTAGAATTCGTTTAGAGGAATTGAGGAGAAAGTATTGAAAGTCTCGCGTTATGATGAAATCAATTATTAATATATGCAATTTTCATTTTACAAGTTAATTTAAAAAATTATATTTTAAATTAATTTGTTAACGAAAAGGTAAATTTAAGATGGCATTGACCTTATTTTTGAACTATATCAAACTATTATTTATAACAAGCTTCTTAATCGATATTTAAAGGGAATGAGAATTCATAGAACAATTTTTCATTCCCCAACAAAAACTAAACATATATCAAGGGAATAGAAAAGTAGTTTAAAAAATGAATATATCGTAAGCTTTAATTGGAAGGATTTAAAAGACAAATCCACATTTCTCATTAAAATGAAAAAAGTTTTTTCAAAATTGAATTCTCATTTCATTAGCACTTAACTGGAAGAATGGAAAAATAATTATAAAGAAAACCTGAAGTAAAGATTTATATAATAAAATTTCAAATTTGAAAATAGACAAATACAGTAATTTATTCTAACACTATTATCTTAACGAATTTGACATCTAATAATTAAGTGAACAGAACCTTCTTTTCATTTTAATTCATAATAACAAATAAATTTTTCAAAAGCTCATTTCCAATTTTTTTGTATCAATATTCTATCAGTATAAGGACAACAAATTTGAATAATTACTCCAATAATATTATTATATATTATATTATAAATAAGTTAATGTCATTGTTTAATTCTAGAAAAAGAGTGATACGATAAAATAATCCGACGTCTTACACACGGAACTTTTTTTATTTAGAAACTAAAATTAAAATTCTAAAACAAAAAAAGAAGAAACAGATATTAAATTCCGTGTTAAATAAGGTGTTCGGTTTTTTCTTAAGAAATGTGAGTATTATCCATAGAAGTTAAGTTTAATAAATTCTTTAATTGTATATATGTAATAAATAAATAAAAATTATTCTATAAAAATATTAATATATTTATATAAATAACGCATTAATTAGATACTAACTTAATAGTGTTTAACTCTGTTTTATACATGCTATTTTAATTTTTATAATTTTCAAAAATATTTTATAAAAATATACTTAATTTAAAAATATACTATTAGATTAATCAAATTCGTGTAATACCCACAATTTAATATAAACAAAATCGACTGACTTATATATATAAATATGGTAGTAATACATATGTTTAAAAAAATAATAATAATAAAATATATACAAAACAAATGGGAAAAAAATATCCTGCAACATCACCATCATTCACAAAAAATGTTTCAACACTTACCTCTCATTGGTTCATACCAATAAAGTGATTATCGCAAAAAAAAAACAAGAGAACATCAAGAGAAACAACATCATAAGCTAATGTGCAAAAAAACTTTCATAAAACAAACATGTATACTATATCATCTATCACTCATTCATAAAACATCCATATCACATAAAAACTCCTTTTAGATTTAATTATCGAGATACATGTTCTTGATATCAAAACTCATTTGGAGGTAAGTACCTGTGTGGTTTTTAGGTTATGCAGAACTTAGCCAAGGGGTTATCACCCATAAGGTTAATCTCCTTCGCTCTAAGACCAAACTCTGATCATAAATTAGAATCTCCTATACTAATATAACCCATTTTGCTCTATTTGAGTATGAAGGATTATT